GGTTTAGGGTTTAGGGTTTAGGGTTTGGGGTTTCAGGCCTCGCTGAGCTACAAACGAAATCGGAAGATTTTAATTTTCGATTTAAACGCCGAAGCAGATTGGAAAGCAACAGCAAGAGACCAGCAGCAAAACTTTCTCGCAGGTCGGTTTTAATTAATTAATTAATTAATTTTTTAATTTAATTTTATTTATTTTATTTTGTTTTTCCCTTTGTTTTCTTTTTTTGGCGTTGTTTTGTTTTCTTTTTTGCCTCTTTTTGCTCTCTCGAATAAGTCCTTTTTGTCTTGTTTGGAGGACCCTGCAGCAGCAGCAGCAGCAGCTGCTGCTGCTGCAGCTGCTGCTGCAGCTGCTGCGACTGTACCAGTGGCTGCTGCAGCTGCTGCCGTCCATTATGTCTCTGCCCCTCACGGCTAGCGCAGCAGCCCTTCACACCTCTCCTGCTGCTGTTGCTGCTGCTGCTGCTGCTGCTGCTGCAGACTCGCGGGGGCGGCTGTGCATTAGGGACTTCACAGAAGACAGCAGCAGCTGCAGCATTTCATTTTATGGAGATGGGCGGCTGCCGCCGCAGCAGCGAATTGATGCAGCAGCAAAGAAGGAGGGGCCCCCCTTGATACGGGATTTGCTGCAGGCCTTTGCCCAGGAGATCCGGGAGAGGTGAGGGCCCTGCTGCTGCTGCTGCAGCAACAGCTGCTGCTGCTGCTGCAGCAACAGCTGCTGCTGCTGCTGCAGCAACAGCTGCTGCTGCTGCTGCAGTGCCTGCGGCGCCCAACGCAGCTGCAGCAGACGGAACGCGTGCTGCTGCACGCACCGGCGTAGCAGTAGTTCTGCTGCTGCTGCTGTCACAGTTGCTGCTGCAGCATAAGTTCTACAGTCTTTACTGCTGTTTCAGCAGCAGCAGCAGCAGCAGCAGCAGTGGCACTGGCCCCGCTCAGCTGTAACGGCCTCACTGCAACGCAAACAACGCCTTGGCTTATTTGCAGACTTATGACTAGGCTACTACTCCCACACAGCTGCTGCAGAGCACGGCAGCAGCAGCTGCAGCAGCAGCAGCAGCAGCAGCGGTAGCTCTGTAGCCCGGGGCTTAGCCAGGCTCCAGTAGATCCTCAGCAGCAAATTAGCTGTCTCTAGACTGCAGCGCTGCTGCCTAGGCCCTAGGCTGTCGCTCGCTCTACTGTCCTCTTCAAGAAAACTAATCCAGCAGCAGCAGCAGCAGCAGCAGCAGCAAGCCGCAGCAGTAGCTGCAGCAAGCGGCAACAACAAAAGCAGCTACATAAGCTCGCTCTACTGGGTATTTAGGCCAACGGCCTACCTAGGGTTTATACAAAACATTTTTGCTGCCTCTCAGGGGCCCCTTGGGGGCCCCCTGGGGCCCCCTGGGGGGGCCCTGGGGGCCCCCTTAGCTGCAGTTGGGAGCTGCAGCAAACACACGTACGTCGGTGCAGCATGAAGAGGAACTTCAATTATTTTTTGTTGTTTTTGTTTTTGAGTTGTAGTTCCTCTTTGGCGTTGAATCAGGAGCATCGGGTGCTGCTGCAGCAGCAGCAGCAGCAGCAGCAGCAGCGTCGGGCGCAGCAGCGCACAGCAGCCGCAGCAGAGCGATGGCCGCAGGCCCTGCCGCTGCCTGGTGGGCCCGACGGGCCCTCGGGCTCACAACAGCTGCAGCAATTTATCACGGGCATGCCGCGGCAACAGCAACAACAGCAGCAGCAGCAACAGCAGCAGCAGCAGCGACTGGTTCTTGTGGCTCTCTTCGCCGCTTCTCTGCAGGGGCAGCAGTGGCCCCGGGCAGCAAACGCAGCGAGACCTCTCATGGTGCGCCTTCCAACAGCAGCAGCAGCAACAGCAGCAGCAGCAGCAGCAGCAGCAGCAGGCCCAGCCGCCACTTGCTGCAGCTGTGCGAGGAAATTGTGTCTCTGTCTCAAAGCGAGGCTGACGCCTTCTGCGCTGAAGTGCAGTACCGCCTGACTCCCGCAGCAGCAGGGGCCCCGCGGCCAGCAGCAGCAGCAGCAGCAGCAGCAGCAGCGCCAGCTAGACGGGGCCCCCTGCTCCCCCTCTGCCCCTTTCCCCACCCCATGGGCCTCTTCTTAGGGGCCTCGCCTCTGGGGGTTTTGGGGGTGCAGCAGCAAGCAGCAGTGCCGCTGTGGTTCTCGCTGCTGGCAGCAGCACAAACCCTAAACCCTAAACCCTAAACCCTAGGGCGTAAGGAGGCCGTCGTGAGTATACCCTGGACACACCTGACGCGGCCGAAGGCAGCAACATTTTTTAGGTGTTGCTGCTGCTGCTGCGGCGGCGGCTGCAGCAGCACTAGCAGCAGGCTTTCCTGCGGCGGCAGCAGCAGCAGCAGCGCCTGCTGCTGCTGCTGCTGCGGTGGCTGCAGCAGCAGATGCCGCTGCAGCTGTTTGCATGCAACGTACCATAAAGGAAGTTTGCCGCCCCCCACTCTCCGCCTTGTAAAGCGACTAGCTGGGCAGCTGGCTAGCTAGCTAGGCAGCTGGCTAGCTAGCTGTACATCTATCTAGCTAGCTAGCTGTACGCCTAGCTAGCTAGCTAGCTAGCTAGCTAGCTAGCTAGGTAGCTAGGCAGCTAGCTAACTGGATATGCATTTAGCCAGCTAGCTAGGAAGCTAGCTGCTCCAGCTAGCCATCCACCTAGACTCTTACAAAGCTAGATTGTTCCCCAGCCGCTTGGCTAGTCAGCTAGCCAGCCAGCTGGCTAGCCAGCTAGCTAGCTGGCTAGCTACCTGGCCAGCTAGCTAGCTGGCTAGCTAGCTGGCTAGCTAGCCAGCCAGCCGGCCACGCAAGCAGCTAGACAGCCTACTCGCCCAATAGCTAGGGAGGCGAACATCTAGCTAGCTAGCTAGCTAGCTAGCTAGCTGGCGGTGCAGCTGTGCCAGCTGTTTGCTAAAACTGGAGGGATGTGGGTGCCGCAGTGCCCCAACAGTCCTTTCTGCTGCTGCTGCTGCTACTGCTGCTGCTGCATGCAGCCCTAGCCCAGCGCCTCCAAGCGCTGCAGCAAATGGAGCTGCGGCTGCTGCAGCGGCAGCTGCAGCAGCAGCTCTTCCTGCAGCAGCTGCACGCAGCCCCGGCCCCTCCAAGCGGCTGCAGCAGCAGCTGCAGCAGCAGCCGCAGTAGCAGCTGCAGCAGCAACTGCAACACCAGCTGCAGCAGCAACTGCAACACCAGCTGCAGCAGCAACTGCAACACCAGCTGCAGCAGCAGCTGCAGCGCCAACTGCAGCAGCAGCTGCAGCAGCAGCAGGGGCTTGAGAAGGGGCCCTCCCCAAGCCTTCAGGGTCACCTCCGGCGCCCTCATATACATCTATAATAAACATCATAAAAAGTATAATTATAATTATAAATTATAATTATAATTATAATTGTAATCATCACAAATATTATTAACGAATAAAATGTATATGCATTTGTAGATAGATACACTGGCGGCTATGGATCTAGAAGCTGCAGCAGCAGCTGCTGCAGCAACTGCTGCAGCAGCAGCAAGTGATGCAGAACTTGCTGCTGCTGCATAAGCAAACAGCAGCTGAAAAGGCCTGGAACCCTGGGGCCCACCAAATGACCTGGGGGCCCCCTAAGACCCACTGGTACCCTCAATTGGGGGGCCCCCTCAGCAGGGGGCCCCTCAGCTGGGGGCCCCTCAGAGCTGGGGGCCCCCCTGAGACCCACTGGTACCCTCAATGTGGGGGCCCCCTGAACTGGGGGCCCCCCAGAGTTGGGGGCCCCCCTCTGCTGGTCACCAGAAGGCCTCGGGCTCTTCTGCGGTCGGGTCTGTCTGCTGCTGCAGCTGCTGCTGCTCAGGTGCATCATCCCCCTCAACACTGCTGCTGCTGCTGCTGCTGCTGCTGCTGCTGCTGGGGGTCAGCAGTGCTGCTGGGGGCCCCCAGACCGCCGGCCAGCGCGGCGGCAAAAGAGAAGCCTGGAGGGTCGGGAGGAGGCCCTTGGGCAAACACCAAAACTTGTCGCCCCCTTGAATCTACAAGCAGCAGCAGCAGCAGCAGCAAATGCAGTAGCAGCAGCAGTAGCGAATGCAGCAGCAGAGGAAGCAACGAATGCAGCAGCAACAAATGCAGCAGCAGCAGCAAATGCAGCGGCAGCAAATGCAGCAGCAACGGCAGCAGCAGCAAGTTCAGCTGCGTTTCCAGGCCCCCTCCGCCTCGCTGAAGACAGTCCATGCCACTGTTGAACGCGGAAGGGTTTAGGGTTTAGGGTTTAGGGTTTAGGGTTTAGGGTTTAGGGTTTAGAGCAGTGCACACCTTCATAGGAACCTGCAGCAGCTGCGGCAAGGCAAAGCGAAAGAGGAAAGCCTCCGAGCCGCCGCAGTCATCACCCTGCAGGAAGCAAAACCCCAAAGGCAGCAGCAGCAGCAGCAGCAGCAGCAGCAAGTGCAGCAGCAGTGGCAGCAGTCAAACGCAAACATTCAGGTGAACCAGAGATACGAAAAGCAGTAGCAGAAACCAGCCCAGAGTCACCATTACCTTGACCCAAGCCGTAAACCCTAAATCCTAAACCCTAAACCCTAGACCCCAAACCCTTAACCCTAAACCCTAAACCCCAAACCCTACCGGCGCTGCGACGCAGTCAATCAGCTGCACACAACCCAGCACACATCGCGTTGGGTACTGAGAAGGAAAAGGCGGCAGGCAGGGGGGCCCCCCGGGGGGCCCCCCTTGGGGGGCCCCGGGGGGCCCCCCAGCGAGGCCCTCTGCAGCAGCCTGCAGCATCTTTTGCTGACACGAGGCCTCCGCCAGGGAAATGACGGGGGCAGTTGCTGCATCTTCTGATGCGTGGATCCACAGCCTGAACAAGCAGCAGCA